CTTACAGACGTGCTGCCTGAAGCTCTAGGCGTAGCCAAACATATATCCGTCAATTCCTCAGTTTCAGAGTTATTATCAATTTCGCCCTCAGTCACGCTCGATGACTGGATACTTACAGACGTGCTGCCTGAAGCTCTAGGCGTTGTCAGTTCTTTATTTTCTTGTCTTATATCGGTAACAGGTTCATAGATCGGGTAATTGTCCACCGGAGTGGATTTGTCACAATTCGTGTCTCGTAGGGAGACATCAATAAACAAGCCGTCCACCTGAGTGGTTCGGCACCTACCGCCCCAGATAGGTTGTACTCTAGTTGCACCGGGTTCACCTTGGGTATGTGAGCCGGTGGTGGAATAGGTATTTCTCAATTCCTCTATTCCGGATGTTTGGATTCCATCGTCGATAGGTCCCACGTCGCCAGGGAATCGCTCGGAAGCTACCATCCCCAGTTGGTGCCAAGTAGCTCGGGTTTGGCCGCCGCCCTGGCACCCCACGGACGCCAAACCATAGCTTTTACTGTTAATATTTTCACCCATATTTAATAAACGGTCTACTCTGATATAGGGCCGACCGGTTCCCTATAAAATGCAAATACAGGGTAGGGTTGCAAGTCCCTACCGGGTACCCAATAGCTGATGGGGCCGGTAAGTTCCCATCACGGTTTAGGGTTTTCCTTCCCATCCGGGAGATAGCTTCTCCTGCCGTTGGACATATAGTGGTTGGCGAGGCCACTATATGGGTTTTTAGTGTTCTCCTTCACGGGTTGGAGGATTTGGTTACAGGATTTACCTATATCCAGCCGTACCACGAGGAGGTACCTCCAGAGGATAGTGTGGGCAATGTTAATATGGCTCATATGGTCGGTTCCGCCCCATCCTAGGATAGTTTGGGTCTCCTCCCATTAAGGGAGTTATAGAACTCCATACTCCCTTAAGAGAGTCATAGTTACTCCCGCCGTTTACCCGCGCTTGGTTGAATTTCTTCACTTTGACATTCAGAGCACTGGGCAGAAATCACATTGCGTCAACACCGTCCGACGGCCATCGCAATGCTTTGTTTTAATTAGACAGTCGGATTCCCCCGGTCCGTGCCAGTTCTGAGTC